AGTAATTTCTGAGATTGAATCCTTTTTAAAAAAAAAAAAAAAAAAGGCAGGATTTGAAGGTCTTGTTTGCTGTTTCCCTTCTTCCACTGGCACCACTTTGTATAATCTTTTCCATAAACAGATCAATTTCCATGATAATAATAGACTAATTTTTTTAATCCTTCCCAGAATGGCAGTTACAGGTAGGTTGCTCCACACTCTCACTGATTCTGAAGCTTAGCAACTTCCTTTTAACTTTCAGCATAAAGGTATTAATTTGTTCTTAGACCAGCATTGTCCTTCGCCTTTGAGTTCTCCCGTTCTGTTGTAAGTTCTCTCCTTCACCCTAATGCATATATTGTTGTGTCCTCACTTCATTTTCATCTGCTCTGCCAATCCGTGGTGGTTTCTCCTGCAGCATAGACGGTCCCCTGGCCATCCTCATCATCTTGCTGTGCCTTTTCAGGCGTGGGTAGGTCACTGGAATCAGATGCCTTGTCTCAGCTGAAAACTTGTGCTCTGCACAGTAATGCTGGTACTTCTCCATCCCACTGGAGAGTTTCCCGTGATCTTATTTGTCCCTTTTTTTCAGACTTACCATGTTGATAATGTATGAGCATCCAGAGATCAACCAGTTCATCTAGGTTCTTCTACTGAGCCTCCACTACTGGAAAGGGCTAACTGGAAGTTCTTGTTAATCATCTCTAAGTGCATGGCCGTGCAGTTATGTACGTCCGGACTTAATTTGGTTTCTATTATGTCAGTCTGGATGCTTCTCCAATTCCTGGTGGAAACTCTAGTCCTCCATGCATTGACGGTTCCTCCTGAAGGTCCGTGTAGTTCAGAAGTCAGTTTGGATTCCTATCAAATATAGTTGGTACTTGGACAAATTGCAGCAATTTTAACTTGTTTCCAAAATGTCTCCAACTTGGAACACGTGTCTGTTTTAACTTTAACCAGAAAACCAAACAAAATTTAGTTATGCAGATGCAGCTGACGTTAATCTAACTACCCTGCTCAACCCACTAGCTGATTTACAGACAGTTATCTAACTACCTGGCAACACAAATGCTCAAGTGACCGGAACTAAGGTTCATTGACTGTTCAAGCTTTGATTATTTTATTTATTTTTCCTTGCAAAATTATCACTCTGACAGTGAATTCACTCTGATGGTAGTGCTGAGCTTCTTTCTGATGGAAAAGTGGTGGGGAGAAAAGCAGAACATGTATTTTTGTAGACACTGGCTCACTCTGGTAGTCCTTCATTAGTAATCCACGTTAGGCGGTAGCAGACCATTCTGACAGTACTCATATTGCCAGCTCCTGAAGATGCTTGCTGTCATGTACTGTGCAGCTGATCTTTCAAAATAAAGAAAAGGAGACAGAAAAGTGTCCATATACATGTTGTATAGCAGCAGAAGGAATTCTTAAAGAAGTGTCCTCTTGCTTGCTAACTTCAGAGCTGGCTTCTAGGCGAAAGGGATGGGGATTACAGCCCAGGGTGTCTGTAGCAGCTTCGCTGAAAGACGTGTGAGAAGATACTCTGTGTACTGAACCGACTCTCTGTCCACTAGGTTTGAGAGCACTGTGCAGGTTGGCAAACTGCAGGACCTTATCAACCGAAGTAAGATGGCGAGGTGTAGAGGACGATTTGTTTGCCCAGTCATTCTGTACAAGGGAAAGGTAAAGCTTCATGGGTTACCTGTCTTAACTTAGAAAATGACCTTTCTCCCTGCTGTTTGAACTGTGCAGCCACATCTTCAGTTGGTTGTCACCTTCCCAAATGCTGTAAAAATCTGTTCTTAGGTACAAGCAGGCAGCCTGTAGTAGTAGGTAGCATTTGCTGTCTAGGCATTAATCATCTGTGGGGACTTCAGGCTATTTTACCCTGCCACGTCATGAGCATCGCACCAAAGAGCTAACATTTTCTCCATATGTATGTCCCTTCTGAAGGACCAAAGATATTTGGTCTTTGAGAGGGGAAAGACAACTGTTGTTGTCTTACTTACTCTTACTCTTCCCAGCAGTGAGCTCCCTTTGAATAACTTTTCATTCTAAAGAGAAGTTTCCCTTGTCTGTTCCCTGGGGAGGCAAGATTGCATAAATGGTCTTACGAATGTGTGGGCTTGTCTGCAAGGGGATCTGTAAGAAAGTGAAATTAGATTCATTTTTATGTGGATTACTTAAATTGTATTGAAGCCCTGTAGGAGTAGTCTCATTTAGAATTTAAGTAGCTTAATTCAGTTTTCTTAGTTCAATTTAGAAACACTGTATAAATAGCAAAATCATACCTGTGACAATTTTAATCTAGCTTGACTGAAGCCATCGTGGGCTGAACCTGCTGACCTTTTTCTGCAGGAGTGAACTGCCCGGAGTCGTACTGGGACCATCCATAATCTTATATACAGGAATGTGGAAATGAGGCTCAAGCAGGGTATTAACAGAGCATGGACATTGCTAACTTGGCAGGAATTGACTGTATTAGTGAATTGGAGAACTGGAGATGAAAATGTGATTTAAAAACTAGCTACAGATAAAGGCACTTGGGAGTTTGATGTGTTTGGAGAACTCGATCCGGACCAGGGTTGCAAGGGAGACTGCTGAGAGGTGGTAGCCGTAGGTACCAACCATTTCCGTGTAATGTGACAGCAAATAGGCCAGAGACCTGATAAGGGAAAAACTCCTGGAGCATGCGTGGTTAATAACAAAATCTTCCTCCAGCATATTTGCAGATCAGCAACGCTGGCTGGCTGGGGAGAGCTCTATGGGCGCACTGGCTACAACTACATCTTCTCAGGTGAGTGAGGAGCCATTTGTTGTGTCTGCCTGGTAAGGCTGGTCAGTGCTGGGACAGTGACCTACACGCGAGAGCAAGCTCTTCCTGAGAGCCGATGCAGAGCTGTAGCATGGACCTGCTTGTATCAGGCCCTGCATAATAGAGCAAAGACTGAAATCTCATGTCCCTTTCCAAGCACCATACTACAGGACGGAGTGCCATAGCTCGTAAGAAGCAGTGACAAAAGAACTTGAGGCTGAAGAGTGAGTTATGGGAAGCATGCAGGCAAATAAGGCAGCCCAAAGGATTCAGGGTATTGATTCCCAAACATCGGGGGTGGGAGTAATGGAAGAAAGAGGATAAGAACTTGCTGTTGCTTGGCTAATCATTGGGAATCAAATCGTGCTAATGGTGAGATGTGCTGGACTCTAGGGAAATCTCTTCAGGGGAGTATTGAGTGTCTGTAGTGTGTGAGCTGAAGCTTGGCTTAACAAAGCACTGTATAGCACTATTAGGGTGTCCTTCTGGCTGTCAGTAATGGGTTTGACATGCTTAGATCCTTTGCAATGACAAGGGAAGAGTGGGCTACGTTAGAAAACGGGCTTTTCAGGAAGAGGAGATGTGGGGAATTATTGAGAGCACTTATGTGCGGAGAGAGGGCGCCGAACTATGACCTTTTTGGGCATGTGCATGTCATGTCAGATTGGGGATTGAGTTGGTTTACACAAGCTTCAGTTCTTAATGCCTTCCTTGCAGGAGGTTCTGATGATGCTTGGGCAGATGCAGAAGACATTTCAGAGGAAGATTCTGCATTTAGGTTTGTATGCATCACTGGGATGGGGAAAAGGGAGTTTGGACCAAAGCTGACTGGCTCAGCCACTCAATTCTGCTCTTTCCTAGGCTGGTACAGGCTTGAGACTGTCACCAAGCTCAGTCTTACTTTTCTTGCTTGAATGCTCATGGCTGGCTGAACCCAGTGTAACTGAAGCCTGCTAATCTCTTGCCACAGGGAAGGGCTGGAGACAGGAATATATAGAGCTATTTAAAAAGGTGTCTGAATTACACACATGTGTTTACTTCATCAAAAAGTACATCTCTAGGCTGGAGAAATTGTTCTGCATCTTACATGCTTGTTGCAGCACAGACTGAGACATGGATTGGGACCCTAAGCATGAAGTTTGCAGTATCAGTTCATTGCAGAATCTGACTCTGACCTTTGGAGACAAAGCTCGTGCTATGTGGTAGGGAAGAACTGTGACAGTATTGTGCAGAGAATCAGACTCAACGTGGTCAGTCTTCCGTGCTCATCTTGCTTTGTCTTGTTCTGTCTTGCAGAAATGCAGACTCCCAGCTGTTTGACAAGGTCAGAGGGCATGACATCAAGCTGCTTCGATACCTGTCTGTCCGATACATCTGTGACCTGATGGTGGAAAACAAGAAGGTGAAGTTTGGCTTGAAGTGAGTGCGTTCATTTGTTTTTCTGTAGGCTTTGGATTGCAGCTAGTGTAGCCCTTACATGTGAGTTGCTATTGGGCATGCACTCAGCATCCTGGAGCAGTCTCTGGAAGAGTCTTACAGCAGGATCAGTTAGTCGATGCTGTGAAGAGAACCTCAAGGTTTTAGGCCAGAGAAAGCTGTATCAGTGGGCAAGATAGCTGCTTTCATCTGTCTTCTGCAATCGAGTAGGTTTTCTCTGTAGAGCTTGTGGTGATGTGGCAGTCACCCCTTCAGAAAGGGGAGAGTAAAAGAACCCTCTGCTTGTGTGCAGGAACAGAGAGATGTTTCTCCTGGTATTTCTCTCAGAGGAAAGCTTTAGCTGTTTTGGGCTATGCCTGTTTATTTGGAGGTGTTGAGTAAGTTCTGCCCCTGCTCACTACTGAGTCAAGTCGTTGTGCAGGAAGATTCGACAGGTAGCTTTTTGAGTGCTAGTATCTCCATGAAAAATACTCTACAAATGTCTGCTGTTTTCCTCTTGTCCTGTGCAGTGTGACGTCTTCTGAGAAGGTGGACAAAGCTCAACGTTATGCTGATTTCACACTTCTCTCCATACCATATCCAGGTACAGGACTGATGTCCAGAGGGACTCCCAAGGGACAGGTGACAATCCGTTTCTGGGGACTGGGAACTACCTCTGTGTGTGTGGTGAAATGGCTGTGGCTTGCTGAATGTTTCATATACACCCTCTGGAGAGAAGGTCTTTTAAACTGAGAACAGTGCAACGAATCTGGATGCTCCAGTGGTGTGAGTCAGCACTAGGCACTCTTTGAGGTGGCAAAGTAATTTCTCAGCAGTTCTAATTAATTCAAGCGCAGAGAAGAAGTCCCAGAGGTGGAGCTGGGGTTAAGATGGCCTTTGACACCCCTGCAACTCCAAACTACTACTTGATGCAAAGTATATATCTTGCTCTGTGTTATGTAAAACCCCAATTCTTAAGAATATTTTCTAGTCCTAGTGTTCCAGAGCACCACTGTAAGATATCCTCAGTGCTAGGCAGAACTGTTAACCTGAGACTGCAATGTACGACTGAGATGCAGACCACTCCAGCCCGTCTCCCTGGCTATATTAGTCCCTGTGCCTAGCAACCACTGCTGGGTCACTTGCTGCACTCTTAAAGATGAGCTGAATATTGCTGCCTGCCTGCTGATGTCAGGCTTGGTGATAGGATTGGATGTGAGACTGCTGTGCTTGAGGTCTGTCTGCAAGAAAGGACTTTTCTTTCTCCCTTGCGCACAAAGAAAGGGAGAGGCGAAAAAAAAAAACAAACCCAAAACTCAGCAAAACTGTTGTGGATGACCCAAACCGAAACTGTTCCTTGATTACTAGTTGTTGCCCTTAAACATATTTTCCTTTTTTTTTTTTTTTAAAGGTATATTTGCTTTATACAGAAATTAGTGACAATTCAGAGAAGCTGCATGAAGATTTCTGTCAAGTTTGCCATGCAGATTGCCGAGGTGTACAGAAATAAAAGTATTATTGGTTTCTGTAGCACGTGGCACAGGTATATGTTGCTGCTGTATGCCTCACCAAACTTAGAACATGAGAGAGACAGTGTATACAGGTCTTTTGTAGGGTTGTAAAGAATGAGGAAGAAGTGACTCTATAGAGTTAAGCTGTAGAGTTGTTACTGTACGGGGAGCTGCATGTTGTATGCAATATTCAGTGATGGTCCTTCCTCTTCTGCCATCTGGGACAGCTGCTTTCTTTTAGCAGCTCTTCACTGCCACGCTAGAGGTAAACCTTATAAAACTGGAAATTCTCTCTGCAGGTGTTGCCTGATTTCAGCAGTGCTGGTCCATAGGGGAATGTTGTCATTCTGGTAAATCTAAGGCATACACATCTAAGGATCAGCAACCCCTCTAGTGACTGGCCAAATGCCGTGATACATTCTTATTGATGTTTCCAGGTTTGCATTGAAAGAATTTCTGGTTTGTAATTTGTCTCTAAAGTTATTCTGAGATCCTGTTGTCTTAGGTGAGCGAGGCAGTCAGACATGACTGAAAGACTTGGGTTAAAATGGGGTATCTGTAGAAGCTTTTGTGCTCTCCAGTGCAGAAAAACCCTCTTTTCCATTTGACTGGTAGTTGGCATTTGTAGATGCCAATACTTACTGCCATAATCCCCCATTCTTTGCTTTAAGCCGTTGTTTAATTGGAGTTAAATCTCAACTGACAGATTGCTTCCTGATTGTGTGTTTTTGAGGGCTAGTCCTGTCCTCGCACAAAGATCTTTTTTTCATCATTGGAGTTACTTGTGACTTGCAGGGTAGGAATCATTGCCTGTGTTCAGTGTCTGGCACGGGGGTGTCTTGGTAATATGGGCACCATGGCACTGCTGGGGCGTACCCAGTACATTGGGAGAGGTGTTTCGTGTAGCCTGCAGGCAGCCGCAGTGCTAATGGTGCTGCTCAGCTGTGACTAAGTGACTGCAGTTTGCTGCAGAGACTTCAAATAGTTGTTTGAGAAGAACAGAGTCAAAGGACAAACTTCAGGAGAGGAGGGCTTGGGGGGAAACTTTGGAAGTGGTTATGTACCTGCCTCCTTCAGGTAGGGCAATTCGCATGTTTGAAATGTGAGAGAAATCACAGCCGCCTCTGACAGAGCCCTTTCTCGTTACCTGCAGCAGATGCCCTGTGAAAGTTGGCTTTCCCCAGGGCTCTGCCAACACCTCCTTTTGCTGGTTCCTTCTCACTCAGCGTGCCAGGCTGATGCCTTAGATCTGTGCAAAAGCCAGTGGCCCTGGAGGCATAGCTCCTTGGTAAAACCTCTTCTTTGGGAAAGGATGAAATCAGTCCTTCAAACTCCACGTTTGCTGTGTGTTTGGAGTTTGCCCTTCGCTGTGTGAGTGTGTTCACTGCTGAGTGCTTTGGGTTGTTGCTGCTGGGAGGCTGTGCTGCACACTCTACTGATGATTACTGCTCTTCTCTTCCCGCAGGCAGCAGTTTTGATTGGTTTGGTGCTCTCGAGCCTGGCACTTCTAGTCCCACAGGACACTTCACTTGTTAGGTATCAGTTAGCTGAACGGTTGTTCATTATTTCTTTTTCTTGCAGGCTGTGAATTTTTTAAGGAGTACAAAGACCGGGATTATACAGCTGAAGGTCTCATATTTAACTGGAAACAGGTACATGGATGTTACAAAATGGAGAGCTGTGGGCTTTACTGAGCTTAAGTCTTGCCTTAGAGTTCCTGAGCGATGGTGTGTATGTTGTGTGCTTATTTCTGATCACAAGGAGGAAACCGACAGGACAAACAAAGCAGATAGTGAATGTACTAAATTACTCATTCATTGTAAAATTTGTATGTAAAATAAATTAATCATTATCCTGAAGTCAGGATGCTTGACCTGTCATGGGAGGTATGGGTTGCTCCTGTTTTTGAATTTGGTATCTTATTGATAGCCTCTGTTCCCAGTTCTGTCTTCATATTCTGTCTCCTGCTGAGGCAGATGGTTGAGTGGAGCAGCCCTACAGGAATTCAGAAACTAACACGCCTTGTCCCTGGCTTTCACCGTTGGGAGCACAGAAGAGCTCCTCTTATCCACTCGTACTTCCAAGAGGCTATGAGTTAATTCTTACCACTGCAGGTTTTTGCATTCAAAGATGCTTTGCTGAGGCGCTCTCTTCTAGATGCACCGTTTGGCATTTGTTGTTTTGTGTTTTCTGGAACTCGCTGCCCTCAAGTCACGGCTTTTCTCTGACCAATTGTGTTTGGGTTTTTTTCAGGATTACGTAGATGCTCCGTTAAGTATCCCAGTCTCTCTGACCCAATCTCTGAATATTAATTGGAGTGAGTACCAGGTAAGCAAAGCAGGCATCTCTGTGGGAGGTCAGAGATTCAGTCAGGAAGGATCAGTAAAGATTTGAAGTCTGACTTGCTCCTGTTGCAGTAATATGGCTCACTTCATACCATCCCAGTGGGAGTGGGGCTGCAGACTTGATTGTTCAGAATAGCGGTGGAAATCCTTTATCCAAAAGCTTCCTGGCTTGGTGTGTCCCGAGGCAGCTGACTGTAATGTCAAATCTTTTTCTGTAGCTTGCGTAAAGCTTGCAATCCATTAGGGAGATACGTCGGTAACAAAGGTAAGGAACATGCCAGCAAACGGAAAGCAGTATTACTTGTTCACAATCTTAGCTAGGCATGTGCCTGCAGTGGGCAGACTTCCTTGGCTGTAGAGAGTCTTGAGAGAGATCAGCCTTCCCTTATGTGAGCAATAGCCAAGTGACTAGGCACCTTCTTCATGGATGTGCAAAGTACCTGTCCTATGAGAGGAGAGTAGAAAATCGTAATTGACTGTAGCACGTCTCCATTCCTTATTACTGTGACAGCATCGCAAATAATAGTTGAACTCCTATGTTTGCCCAAGCTTCAAGGTTTACCTTTGTCTGCTCGTACCAGGGGCATCACCTTGTACTGCTGATTAGTGTGCTCCATTTCACACATCAGTGGACCTACCAATCCCCTGAGGTTTTGTTATGATTGAATGTGCTAGAGTGTGTCATGCTCCTATGCTCTGTGGCTGGAAGCACCACAGAACTAGCAGAGCTCCCTGTGCTGGGCCAGTGTTTGTCAGTCAGTGATGTAAATAATGTTTAAGTGCCAGCATAAGCAGAATCATGGAAAAGTAGCTTGCAGTGTTGAAGCAGAATTAATGGGACCACAGCTTGTTTATGGCTAGAAACTTGTTTACTAGAATACTGAGCAGCCAGTATTTTAAAAAGGATATTAAAAATTGAAGAGGGTGTAATAAATAGATGCAGAAATGATCTGAGGACTGGAGAAGGTGCTTCATGTAAAGCTGAAGTCCTCAGTCTGTTTAGCTAATCACAAAGGTGATGGAGGGTTGACTTGATTAATCTGTAAGTACATTTGCAGGGAGAAAATACTCATTCTAAAGCACTCTTCAATCTGGGGAAGAAAAGCTGCACAGGAAGCAATATCTGCAGTCTGAAATCAGATCTTCAAATAAGGAAAAGCAGTCTTGCATGTTATTTTTGAAGATGATCTGTTGGAACATGCTGCTAAAGGAGTGATGAACTGTCACCCCTAGTTGAGGTGCTTTTCTGAGCAGAGATGTTGCCAAGTGCAAGCTTCAGGCTGTATTTGGGGCAACTGAACAGAACTTTCTGGTTTGTGGTATAGAGAGATCAGACTGGATGATTAGATGATTCCTTCTGGCATAAGCACAAGATTGGGTTGAGTTGGGCAGATAAAAGACGTTGGAAGTATGTGTTTTTCTGCCCCAGGCTGCGTGTGTTCCCCATTTCCCTACTCTTTTGTTGCTGCGCAGGCTTTCCAGCAGAGCAGTATGTTCTTTGTCTGACAGCAGTCTTAAGTGTGTTTACACACACACACGTGCATGCATGCAAGCACACAGCAAGTGTTCTATTGCTGGCGGTCAGATGTCACTTATACCACTAACACTGTCACAATGAAACATGTGTCCCTCTCCTTGCCTTTTCCTTGCCAGTGCTATTCCATTTACCTTGAGCTAGTTCTGGTTCTGATCAGACAGCTGAAATTCCCTGCATCTTCTCACAACACAGTGGTTGAAAGTGGCATGCTTGAGCTTATTCTGATGTTTTTCACCTGCATCTCTTGTAGTGCTGAAGGTCTCTGAGTTCAGAGCCCTTCTGTGGTGCTGCTGCTACTTGGGCGTTACTGCAGAAGTCCAGTGCCTGTCTGGAGCAGCTGGGAGTGGGTCAGCCCTCCACAGGCAGCCTGCTGGGGCCATTTGCAAGGGCCAGAGAGTTTTGAGCAAAGTGCTTGGGTTGTGGGAACGGGCTGCTGACCGTGGCCTGCTCACCCCGTCATCTACTTGCATCACGTACACAGCTGTAACGTGGCTGCTGAGCCATTTGGTAAAGTGTACGCGTGCAGGGGGCTGCAGAACTGGGTCAACGCTCCGCAGGTGTTTGATGGCTCATGTTAGTCTCTCTGAGCATGGTCTGCTTGGAGCTTTGGGACTGCAAGCAAGCAGGTTCTGTGCCAGCCAGGCAGACAGGAGAGATGGCCTTTTATTTCTCTTTTTTTTTTTTCCTGCCTGGTCTTTTGTCCCAGAGTGCCTTTTGTAGAGGATGGGATTGATTAGAGCACCAAGGGGAAGGTCTGTCATTCTGAGGAATGGCCATGGGGTTATTTCTGCTTTGCTGTTCCGGATAGAGAAGCCAAGAGCATGGCAGGCTCTGAACTCCAGAGCAGCCTTTTGCTGTGGGCAGACCCTTACCATCAACATTTCTCTTTCTGCATAGAGCTGGGACCTCGTACAACAGACACAGAACTACCTGAAGCTGCTGATCTCCATCATCAATAGTGATGGTAAGGCAAACTCCTTGCTCCCAGCGGCCTAACTGGAACAGTTGCTTTCTCTGGAAAAACAGCTGGTGCTATTAGTACCACTGTGGATCAGTTCCCAATACAGAAGAGTTGCTTTATAGAGAGTTTCACTTCTCTCCCTTCAAAACAGGCTCATTGTCTTAGCGTCTCAGGGCTCCAGCTCCCCTCTTAGAGAGGGACCTGCTGATCCCTTGAAAACCCTCTCTTCCCAGGGGTGGAGCATATCTGAAAGCTTTACCTAAGGTTTTACTGCTTTAAAGCTGAAGAGAACAAATGTTTGTTCCTCTTGTTGTTGACTCTTGCTCTTTATTTGCTGAACATCTGTGTTTTGTCCCCCTAGGCCAGGGTCTCATTAGGTGCCTATTTAAGAGCCCCTTCCATCCTATGTCATCACAGCCAGCCCAACTCCTTGAAGGGGGTGTATTGCTCTATGTTGGCATCCCATTCCATCCAGACACTGTGACTTTGTACCTAGCACTGTCGGATAGATGGAGCTGTGGCTGGCTCTGCTAGCACAGCCAGCTGCAGACTCTCCTGTAGTAGTTGTGTTGGGACACACTGCCAGTTTTTTGGAGAGCATAGGAGTGGTGCCCTGCGCATGCCTCTGCTCAGTGTGTATCAGTAGGAAGGTTGGTGAGACTGAAAAAGTGTTCAGCTGGAGCAGGTTCCTCTCTGATGTGGGGATAGATTGTGATAGTGGGTTGCAACTGGGTGGGTATATGTCCTGGGTAGCAAAGTGATGTTCATACCTAGTGACTTTGTGTTCTGAGCAGCTGTCAGGACCAGGACAACACATCAGCTGGGGCTGCTGACAACCCAGGACACTGAGCAATTTGTTAGCTGCCGTATTCAAGACAAAATGTTCTGTCTTGGTGGCTGAGCTCTGCTCTTGAGCCCAGGCTGTAGGGATGGGAGGGTAGCTTGTTGTTACAGATTTGCCTTGAAGAAGTCATTGCTGTTGTTACAATATCCTTTTTTTCCTTCTCCTTCCTACCTCCACCTGGAACAGATGACAGCGGGCTCCTGGTGCACTGTATATCTGGCTGGGATCGAACTCCTCTCTTCATCTCCTTATTGCGCCTCTCCTTATGGGCTGTGAGTACCTCGCTGACCTGCTCTGCTTCTGGGGGTGATTGCTTGGAGGGTGATTCACCAGGAAGTGGTGGTGGAGCAGTTAATGTTCCTTTTGACCATCTTGGCTTCAGAGAGGGTGTGGATTGGCTTTGATGTGGAGCCCAACATGCTGTTCAGCCATGAGGCACGGTATCACAGGCAGGTAGAGCAAGCTGGGCATCTTGGATCATCGTGACAGTTTTCAGTAGATCATGAATTCCCAAGTCCCTGTCCCCAGGGCTGCTACCTGAAAGCTGTTCTCATTTGCTTTGCAGGATGGGCTCATCCACGCATCCCTGGAGCCATCTGAGATTCTGTACCTGACAGTGGCCTATGACTGGTTTCTCTTTGGGTAGGCACACTAACTTTTACTTGCATATGCAACTCTGCACAGCAGCGGAGAAGCCTTCAGGGGTTTATCTTTCGTGTTTGCTCACAACCAAAGGTGGATGTTGGGGCATTTCCCAGTAAGCTGTGACAAGGAGGGGCTGATGTGTTTTCTACCCAGAGGCTTAGGCATCTGGCTGTTCTTGACAGCTTGTGCTCTTCTGCTGATTCTGGCTTCCAGTGTGTGACCGACCTCCTTCCTTTGCTCTCTTTCCAGGCACATGTTAGTCGATCGACTCAGTAAAGGAGAAGAGGTGAGTGTCTGGTCTGGGGCAGTGGCTGAGCACTGCGTTATATTCTCAGGGTACTTGTTTAAGGTAGCAGTGTTCACTGCCTGCATCTGGTAATATCACTGGTCTGGCTGGGCTGTAAAAAGATTGTTCAGGTGCTGGAAATACGAGGTAGGAGCCTTGCCCCGTCACTTCTTGATGCATAAGTGTGTGGGAATGCTTTTCTCTCAGCTAACACTGTGATTGGTGGGTTCCCCTGCTGTGCTGTTAGTGTTCAGGCCCTTGGAGAAAGAGTGCTAGGATTTGCTATTCAGCTCAGCAAAGAGAAGGGATGCTTAAGGTGCGTGACTCCTGGGAGCTTGGAAATAAAGCTGTGTAGTCTTGTGTGCTTGTCTTGAGTGCCAGCCCTCCTGCCTGGGTGGTGCAGCTGTATGTGGCTTGCATGTCATCGCAGGCTCATGGACAGCTCGTACTGGTTCCAGTGTGTGTATTTGGCGGGGTGTATCTGTGGGTGCACAGATGGGTCTGGGAGGCAGTTAAGATTAGTGGAACTAATTCTCTTCAAATCTTTCACTGTTTAACAGCAAAAAATGATTGCTCTGACTGTAGTTGCAGTACACTGCAATATCATTTTTGGATAGAGATCAAGAGGTGGGGAATGTGTCTAACCCTGTTGCTAATCCCCTGCTCCTCAGACTCTCACCTCACTAGGGAATCCCCTGCCTCTGAACAGCAGAGCTGAGACCCTCGCCTATTTTCCATCTTTCAGGGGTCCAGGACCCCTGTATGAGTAGTACTGTTCTTCCTGTTCTGAGCTCTGCTGGCTGGAGCCTGGCAGCTCTGCTCTGGTGCCTGCTTGGCCAGGGGCGGAGTTGGTAGCTGCAACAGGAGAGGGGGTGCATGCCTGCCTCTAGCACTCCCTGCTCCCTGCTGCAGGAGGAGAAGGGCTCAGCTCTGTGCGGGTAGATGGGGTGGCAGAGGCACAGTGGGGTGAATGCCGCAGAGCAGACTGGTGCGTGGCAGGGCACAAGCTTGGGACCACAGATGCTGCAGGTACCGCATGCTTCTGGGTTTGATACAGGTGTGGTGCCGAGGTGGAGCATGCAGCTCTAACCCTGCTAGTCCTGCTGGGTTTGCTGCTTACCTGGATGTATAAGCAGCTGCTGGGGGCCATCTCTTTTCCATTCTGCACTGATGGCATAAGTACCTGCTGTGTGCTTGCAGCATGTGTGCAAGGCATTGATAAGGAGACTTGTCGTACACCTTCCTTTCTGGGCCTCCCCGTGGCAGGGAACAGAGGGTCAGTTTAACGTGTAAGAGAAGGCCCCGGATGCGATGGTGGCAGCCCATGGCTGCAGATTTCTTGCTATCTCCTTCCTGCCAGCACCTCCCCACCAAGATAAGAGGCTGCATGGAGCCTCAGGTTCATTCCTGAACTGCTCTTCTCTCTCCCTTTGCTCAGATTTTCTTTTTCTGCTTCAATTTTCTGAAGCACATCACCTCTGAGGAGTTCTCTGCTGTGAAGTCGCAGAGGTAAGGAGCCTGTGCCTGCTTCTGCATGGCCTGCAGAGCCAGGGAGCTTGTTAGTGCTATTCCTTTGGGGAGATGGAAGCCCTGGTGTCCTGGCCCAGTTTTCTTTAATTTATTCTGCACTCTGAAGGCTGCAAAATGGGGCCGAGGCTTGTGAGGTGCCACGTTGTGCTCTGAAAAACTGTCCATGCTGAAATGTGCTCTCTGCTTAATGACTGTCCATGGCTGCTTTAGCACAGATGAACCCAGAGATGTGAGCTCTGGCTCAAGCAGGCTGTGCAGCAAGCTCATCAGGCACTGCTGGGGGGAGTGGGGTGGCTGGTTTTTAACAGACCACTAAACGTTAACCCCTTCCTATTTCAGGAGGGACAGAAAGAAACAAAGCACACCCTGGAGGCTCTGAATAAACACATGTCTGCCTGCAGCCTGTTGCCACCCTCTTAAAGCACAGGGTGTGTAGGCTGGGACTGTTAGGAGAGTCAGATACTGCACACCGGCCCCGGCCCCTCCCCTCTGCCCCTGCAAAACTAACTCCCCGCTGCTCTGATCTGCTGTGTGCTACAGAGATCTGGCTATGGCCAGCCTCCACGCAGCCCTGAAGAATGGCTGAGGTAACTTTGTCTTTCCTTCCCCAGAAGGAAGAGTTTGCCACCTGGCTTCACCCTGGAAGAGATCTGCATGCTCAGTGAGTGCTGCTGCCGAGCATCAGCGCCCCGGGGTGCTGATAATGGTTGATCACTTTGGGGCTTGGGTTCCCGGCATCAAGGTGACTAAAAATGGGTATGCTTCCCTTGGGGCCTTGCAGGAACACGGCCCCAGGGCACATGGGAAGTGTATTGCTTAAAGGGAGAGAAAGTGATCGAGACCAAGCTGGACTTCAGGTAGCTCTGTTTTCTCTTCTCTAGAGCAGAGAGACCGAGGAAGCACCACAAGTCTGAGCAGCGACTTCTCCCTGGGGATGGAAAGTTCCCCTGGAGCAGCTGGGAGCTTCACCTATGAAGCAGTGGAGCTGATGCCAGCAGGAGCACAGGCTCAAGCGGCATGGTGAGGAGACAACCACTCAGTGGGCTGCAGAACAAAAGGGACAGGCTCTGAGCACAATAGAAAAGATATTTCTGAAGTCCCTCGCCCTCCAGGTCTGCTCTCTGTGGTGTGGATTCCTTACAGTGGAGGGAGGAATTTGGCTGTCAGAGGCTTTGCTGCAACTTGTGCTACAGAACTTCTGCACCAAAAATTGGAGACTACCCCATGTTAAAGACTGTCAGGCTTCTGCAAGGATGCTCCTGAAGTTTGTCCCCTCATATGAGAAAGCAACTTTGTTTCATTTTCACCAGTTTCACTGTTAAACTTCATCCAGAAAGGATTTCATTACTTTTAAAAGATGGTTCCAAACTACCAGAAAAATGGCATTTGGCAGCAGCCTCCCCAGGCAAAAGTGGAGACAATTTAGCTGCCCTAAAATGAAGCTTAATCAGTTTATGGAAGAGATTATACAGGGGAGTGTCTGCAGTTAGTGGTAGGTGGGCTGGGTGGCCAAGAATCCCCTCTAAACTGTAGCTCCTATAACAGCACGAGGTGTGTGAGCTGAAAGCAGGTTGTTGCCTGCAGCGCTGCTTAGAGGTACTTCTGGGGGAGAATATGAAATTCTCAGTGCTCCTTATTGATAGAGGGTCACATAGGACTTGCCGGGGGATGCAGGTGGCTGTCTGGAAGCGGGGACTGGGAAAGGTATGTAGCGACTCAGGAAGGTGTCTGGGCGACTCTGCTGCTCTGGGACAGGCGTTGTGCTTGCTTGTAGAGTTTCTGGTGCTGTTTGGGGATTTCAGAACCTTGCTGTAGGGTTGCCCCTCTCAGTTTAATTTTTCTCTCCTCTCCCTCAGCACATGTGAAGATGCTATTTTATATTGCAATTATTTTAAATTAAATCTGGGTTGTGCTGGAGGCAGTTGGAAGTCCTCTGGGATGAGCCTGCAGCCATGCTAGTGGCAGCAGCCTTTCTAAAGCACATTGTGATTCAATTTATAAAATGCTGAAGAGGGGAAGAGAGAATCTTCCTGCAGAATCACAAAATGGAGATGGGGAGTCCCAAATTGCATTTGCCAAGTGAGCAGTGCAGAGCCTACCTATCCACAGCAAAGTGACTGCAGCAAGTAGAGAACAACTTTCCACTTACCTGGCTGCAGGGTAGTAGACTGAAAGCATTTACGTTGCTCTGAGTGCTCAGGACATGCAGACTAGATCCTGCAGCGCAAAACCTATACATGATTTTCACAAGATGTGAAGTGGCCAGAACATGCTGGAAGGGATCTGCTGCACTTGTGTGTATCAGGGCTTGATTTTGTGACGTGTTTTCTAACTCTGGTTTGCTTTCATTCCTGTTGGAGATGTCAGGCTGTGTTGGGGTTAGCTGCTGTTACCACAGGGATGGTTTGGGCCCAAGTTGTGGGCATGAGCTTGGGGAAGGGAAGGTTGTGAGCCTTGCCATGAGTGCTTAGCGAGGGGACTGGTCATGGATGTCTTGCTGCAGGCTGTTGTGGCTGTGTAGTCTGGAGAACAGGTAAGACTTGCTACAGGCTGGGTGAGTTGGGCTGTGCATAGCATGAGTGGGGAGAGGAGGGGATGTGCTTCATTGTGTTGTCCTGAAAACAGGTGGCCTTGAGGTCTCCTTGCAGGGAGAGGCATTTGGTTTTTAGCTGTACAAGCCTGTTTCTGCAGGCTGTGCTTGGAGATGTTGGCAGCTATGATAACATGAGATGAATAATGCTGGAGGGAGGCTGTAGTGTGATGTTTGAGGGTGGACACACTTCAAGAAATAAAGAGAGAGGTTATCATGCTTTCCACTTTACAATAAGCCTGTCTTTAGCTGCGCTTGCTGACAGGGCTCGAGATCTCAGTCAAAGCTGAGATGCCCTTCCAGATTCCAGGAAGAACAGCATCTTTTCTCCTTGAGTTTGTTTGCTTCAGACTTTTCCTTTTTATTTGTGTACATAGGGAGGTCTTTATCCAATTCACTGTGGTTTTGGAAGGGGAAAAAATCTTGGGACTCTTCCAGAAAAAAAATTGATTTAAGAAGGAAAATATTCTGAACGTGGAGCAGCAGTGATGTGAATTAGTCCCAGATATGTGTGCCTGTTTGGCATGTAGCTGGATGGTACTGGGAGCTAAGGCCCGATGCAGCAATGGACGGTGAATCACACCCGAGTCTGAATGTGCTGGCTAGAAAAGAAGCCAGAGCAGTTCCGGGCTGTCAGCACAGACAGGGAGAGGGCTGAAACACCTACATCTGGAGTGATAGTCAGCTCTGAGCACATGGTCAGAAGTGTGGTCAGTGATGCCTGAAGGGAATCGCTAAAAGGGAAAATAACACTGGTGGTGTGTCCCTGTCACCCTCATCAGTGCGCACGAACGCCCACCTGGGCTGAGCTCCTCGGCTGATACACTTTATAGTGTTTAGAGCAGATTGAAATGGTCTTTCCCTGCTGGGAGGCCCCTTGCTTGAGGCATTTTTACAGCTAGACTAAACAAAGCAATCGCTGTATGTGTGTGGGCTGATGCATTCTCCTGTCTCTGATTTCCAGGTCATGTGGATGGTGATCTATAAAAGAATGGGCTAAGATGGATTGAGCTCAGTGTACCCCCATCACTGAGTGGTTACCCGTGACTCATAGTTCCTTGGGAGAGAGAAGGGCAGGTTCACTGGGAACAAGAGCCTGTAGCTGCTGGGGTAAAATCCAGCCTGTTGTGGAAAGGCTTCCTAGTTGGAGTACATGGTAAAGCCAGCTTTCTCACACAAGTCCTCCATCCCACAGGAGGAAGAGCTGTGCATCATCACCACAAGCCATGCTCTGGAGCAGGGCACAGCAGTCTGAAGACAGGCTGCCTTCCGCAGGGATGGTCGAAGTCAAGTCCTCCAGCTCCTCCTCATCAACCCATTCTGATAACTTCCTGAGGATTGGAAGCAGCCCACTGGAAGTGCCCAGATCCAGGTGAGATGGGACGGAGTAGAGCATTTCTCAGCAAAATGAGTGTCTGGTAAAGTGCAGGGCTGCACTCGTGTGGCTCTGAGAACCATGGAGCACGTGGGTTGGTATCTGCAAACAGGCCTCAGGAGGCCTGTGCCTGTCTAGCCTGACCTTGTGTGATGTGCTGGCCATTAAACACAGAAACTCCTGCCTCAGCCCATTTAGAGGAGTGAGGAACTGTATCGATAACAGCTAGGTGTTTGTTCTGCCTGTCAACGTGTGCCTCAACTCCACGAGCTCTGGCATCTCTGCATCCTGCATGCTTGGACCTCACAGCACTTTCTCTGTCAAATGCATCCACAGGGGTTTGAAATGGCTATGTTGTGTGGGGGAGGAAGCCTTTCAAACCAAGCAGACCTCACTCTGGATCTATCCTGTCCTCCTTTCCATCTGCTGACCTTCCTGACACTGCAGGGTGGAAAAACTCTGGGTGCTGGTGGCAAGCAGAGGTAGAATCTGCTGGGAGCAAGTTGGGAGCAAGCTGCGAGCGCTGTGCCGGCACAAAGGATTTCGCCCGGAAGGCTGTGTGTTCCTGCTGGGCAAGCGGGGAATGGGGACCCTGGACCTGAGCCTAATCTCATGCCATAACAAAGGATATTCTGGCACCCTTCTGAAGTCTGATGCTGTGGTAGGGCAAAGCAGAGCAGTGAGCGAGGCTAGGGAAGAAAGAACAGAGCCTGTGGAGCAAACACCATGTGTTTAGGCTGACAGGGGATAAAGAGGGTCTTAGATAAGAGGTTGCTGTTAACAGCAACTGCTTGTGTAGTCTCTGCAGGTTTTCTGATGAGTCTTTTTCTAGTGATTCCCTTCAGAAACAGCCACCAGCCAAATTTTAGTACTCTCTCATCACATGGAAAATAAAATGACAAACAAGCAAAGCATTGAAAATTTGTAAGACTTTTTTACCAAGTTTCTTGATTCCAGAGAAAAATCACTGTCTGATAGTTTTCATAAATGATGCTAACTGTTCTCCCTCGGGAAAAAGATCAATAGGGTGTTTTTGAGTTGTTGCTGGGGCTCACCTCTACATTCTCTGTAAGATGAAACAAATCTCCCAAGAAGAGAAGAAAATACAGGAGAGAAAGCAGCTTGTCTTGGGGGCTGCTTTTGTTCACGACGATAATGCCACAATTCCTGTGTGTGGTCTCATGCCATTCCCAAGACTTGAGAGGCTGTTCAGCGCTGGGCTGGTAGTGAGCTTGCAGCAATGCTGTGGAAGAAGCGGTTTATAGTGCTTCAGCCAGACTCTGCTCTGCGAGAGTAGCTGAGCACACAGTCCCTGGGGTTTGCGTTCCAGAGGCTCAGAGTTGATAAAGCCAGCAATTATCTTTCCTCTGGCTGTGTCTGGATGAGATGTCTATAAGGTTTTGGATGATTAGTGCCCGTTGGTGTCAGGTGTTCAGAACCGGCACTCCCAGAGCTTGAGGCAGCAGGCAAGCATGGTGGGGAAGCTTCTTATTTCCAGACCAGAGTTCCTGGGGGTGGCTTTTCCCTATCTTCAATAAGTATCCCTGAGAAGGAGTTGCAGTATTCTGTCATTGTAATAGATAAACGTTCTGTGAATTCCACTATAAACATTTTTCTGGCCTTTATGATAGCTTCTACCGTGGCACAAAGCCTTTATAACCCTTCAACACAGCAAAGTTGCACCAGTCCACTCCCAATTCCTGCTAACTTTTATGAACAAGGCAGTGTGAAGGGCTGAGTTAGAAAACAGTACATGACGGGTGAATAGGGGATAAAAGGGGAGCAAACCCCTTGCACGGCCTGGAACCAAGGGGACAGGAGAAGAATCAGTTGTGAAGCCAAAGCGGTGAAATCAGCTGCACGAAAAGATGGTTAGCCTGCTACACTCGTACTGGGTGGAGACTGTGCATCTGTATGCTCTCTATCTCTGGTGTCACCTGGGTTTGCCCTGCTCCTCTCGGTGTGCAGGCTGGAGGAAATAAGCTTAGAGACCCTGCAGGGAGTGGGTGGAATTGTCAAGGCAATGGCTGAATTGAGCTTCTCTTTCAAATCAAGTCTTCTGGCACATTCATGCTCCTTTGCCTCCCAGTCCATTGCCAGATCAGTCAGACTGTGCCCTGCCTGCCCTCACTGGGGTAACGCTGCTGAGAGCTCTGCTAGCTAAGGACTTGAGCAATGCGTTGCCTTGTGAAACGCTGACATGGCTTGCGCTTTTTGGGGCCTGAACATGGTATGTTTTCTCCAGAGAGAGGGGTTATGTCACTCCACTTGGCTTTGGTCTCCCTGCTTGGACTATGTTAGTCTGAATTTGTCTGGTGAGCTCCATGCAGATAATGGACATCATAGTACTTTCAGCCACCATTTTCCATTCTGAAGGAAGAGTCCCATTTTGAGTGGAGAAGGAGCGTATCTGTGATGGAAGGAAGAAGTAAATTCTGTCCCTTCACCCCCTGAAAAATGGTGGGACTAGGCTGGAAAGGCTGGAGCACAGAGACTGATCAGGATGCCAAAAATACCTTTATCTCTACAGTGCTGCTGGCAGGTTAACACCCAAGGCTGTGAAGATGGAGAAACTACTGTACTTGACTTCCTAATCCTCTGGTTGTGTGGCCATAGCAACAAAACACTTAACCACTGCAGCAGTGGTTGAGGAAAAATGGTTGCTTGTAAAATGCCAGCAGGCACCCTTCAGGTAGTTCACGTAAACAGCCCAGTCCGGGTGCTGGCAGGCAGGAGAGCTCCAGAGGGAACAGGAGGGCAAGCCAGCAGAGAGAGATGAGCAGGGCCTGGGAGGGGAACTGGGGTGTCCTAAAGGAAGGAGTCACAAATGGCGAGTCAGCCGGTGGGAGCCAAGCCCCTCTCCTGGCTGGGCCATGTCAGCAGTCTGCTGCTGCCATCACCTCACCAGCCCGTCTTCTGAGTCCTGCTCTGATCCAGAGGTCCTGGGTACCCATAAATCCCGGGATGGTTCTTGTTAGACAGTACAAAGCAGTACAAAGGCAAATTCCTGGCAGTCTTTCTAGCTTATCCCAACGCAATGGTAAGATCACATCTGCTGAGGGCAAACATGCATGAAGATACTGCATAGATTATTTGCAGAGTAGGACAAGGTGCTTCTTGTTCTACAAACAGAGAGTTCTGAGTATGGCAGATAGCGTGTATTGAATTGAACTCCCTGCGTGCGAGTGGGTAGCAGCTTGCAAACATGTCCTGTGTTTGCATTTGACACTAATAGTCTAAGCGTCCCATGACACTGCAGAAAAACCCTGTATCTGTGTCAGGGATTTAGCGTGTGTGCACATAGAACTAATGTGGATTAGCAGCTGGATAATCTTTGGTTGAATGTGCTTTTGCTAAGTCAATTAAACAAAACCCAAAGTACTGTGATCTGAAGAGTCGAGATCTGCAGGAGTTAAATCGTGGAGGTTCTGCTTTGGTCAGCAGTCACAGAGAGCTGCCTTTCTTAAAGGGCTGCAGGTGGTTCAGGTGTGGGTCTGGAGGGAGTGCAGTGAGCGCAGAGAGGGACAGAGAAGCTGCTGTCCCTTGGCTTTGGGTGTTTTGTTGGTAGTGATGAGACTGCATGCGCACTATGTGTCTTGCTCCTTACAGCCACCTGGCTTGGAAGCTGTGTCTGCGATGTGACAACTTGGGATAGCGACCGCAGCAGGACAGGAATTGTTTATGGGAATGTTTTCTGGAATTATTGCATGACTATGCCACAAAATGTGCTTGCCGGCTGGCACGTGACTGTGCTGCAATCAAAAACGGTTGTGCTTGCAGAGGACTGGCTGCTCAGGCTGTTACGGCACTAACACAGCCTGTAGATAGCTGCCTGGGATTCAGCCAGGGCTCTCGGTACAGCTCTCTGCCAAGTACTCCTTGCCAACGTTTCCCACGCAAAGGTGGGAAGGGCTGCCCTTTACTCCAGGTTGCCACAGTCTGCCTGCCCGTACAGTACCTACTTAACGCTTCAATTTGAGGCACAGAGCATATGCTGGCAAATGAGCTGCTTCCCAAATAGTCCTAGGTGTGTAGAAATATGGCAGGTGAGCGGAGGTAGCACAGGGCAGGATGAGAGCCTAGCTGCTGGGCACTTGGCACTTGTCTCAATTACGTATTAAGAAAGGGAAGGATCCCTGACTGTTGCTCTGCCTCCGGTGTTGGCTCTCCTCTGGTAAGCAAGTGTCTGTGTGCTCTGAAATACTCTATCTTGTGCAGCATGTTGCATGGGAAGCACTGACCTAATTAAAAGGAACCGTTCCAGGCTAGGAGTTGCCAGTTTATGGCCTGCTAGAGGTCCTTCCTTGTGTGAAGGAACAGCTTGCAGCTCATCTCTGTTTTGCTAATCTAATTTTGTTAATTTTGCACTTTTGAGGGAGTTTCTTCCCACTCATGGACCTGAAGAGGTGGGTGTGTGAAGCTCACTTTCATTCTCTTTCTGTCTGCCATTAGATGTCTGTGGCAGAGACAGCGACTTGGAAGACTTGCTGTATCTCATCTCTCCTAACCACATCGGCTTTGCTGTAGTCGTCCGGCTGCTTCCCAAGACCCTCCACGCTGCCCTCGCAGCTAGCCGGCTTCTGGCATGGCTGTAATGTGTTGCAAACCTGTTGTTCTTACAGGCCTGGGGACTGGTCCTGGTGTACCAGCAGCCCCAACTTGCTCTGGGGGCCTCACTGAAACCCTTTTTGGTCCTCTGCAGCAACACTTTACAAGGAGCCTTCAGGGGTAAAACTAACAGGAAGACTTTCGCCTCTAGCATTGACTGGATTGCACTGGGATACTGTCACCCTAGAGATCCAGTCTTGGTCTCAAGCCAAGCTCAGCTTTTAAGAAGCTCTGCTGCCCTTGCAGTGCAAATGCAAGATTTCCCATGCCATGCCTTCCCCACCTGTCTCACCCAGCCTTGGCCCCTGCTGTCTCTCGACGCTGTTCAAGAAGCTTGTTGGTCGTGACACTTCCTCAGGAGCCTCCCTTGAGAAGGCGTTGGGGATAGAGGGGAAAGTCTGCCACAGTATCTTAGCTCTGCTGGCTAGGCTCAGGTATCTAAGCCAGGAGAGAGACGACCTGGACTCATTGCAGAGTCAATCAGTTTATTCAATTAATCGACAAGTGTTTTTTCTGCTGCCTGGAGGCGAGACACAGAATTGGCTGCCTTGAACTCCTAGACTCCTGTGCTATTAGGTTAGATGTAACTTGACTAAGTTTGCACAGCTGCTTGACAGGGTCAGGGACCCCAGGAAGGGTAAGAGAGCTGGAGAGCCACTGAGGGTCAGTCTTGCAGGAGGTACACGATGCTTTTATCAGCCTGTCCAAGAAAGGATTCAAGAGATGACTTGATCCACCTCCAAGAGGTGGTGTAAGATCAGTCTAATCTTAGCTGACAACCAGCAGCTGGAAGCTGAGGCCATACACCCAAAGCAGGAAAAAATTTCCTGCTCACCTTCTTTAGCAGATTCATCTGGGCAGTGTGGTGGTTGATACTGGGCAGAGGGTCATTTTTACTGTCCCTGGGGCCCTGGATCATGTCTTGTTCCTTTGCTTGCCACGTGGGCACAGTCTCCTAGGCAGGCTCCTGCTACTACTCTCTCTTTGCAAGAACTGCAGAGCTCTGCTCAGTTCTCTTCACCTTCACCTGGAGATCCTGCCGTAGCCCAAGCCCTCTTCTGCCATCCGGAGTCTCCCTCTTCAAAACCTTTGTTTCTGCCTGGCCCCAAACCAGTTGCTCTGTTCAGCAGCTCATTACTTTTCTGGCAGCAATGATGTCCCTGTCTACTTTCAGCCCAAGCCCATTGGCTGTAGACCTCTTTACTGCTTTAACTCGAATTTTTGTCACTGTGTGTGACACTCCTGTTTTCCCTGTCTGGCTGTGCTGTACTCTGAGAGGTGACATCCTCCTCTTCCCTCTGCACTAAAGCAGTGTTCCTCTATGCTTCTCCCTGGCTGCCTGCACTGTTCCCACTGTGTTTCCAGCATGGCACCGTGCTCTGGGCCCAAACGCTCTGCCTGCTCTCCTCCATCACGCTGACTTCCTCAGCTTTATCTTCCAAAGGCAGAGAGAGGGATATATGTCACTGAACAGCTGCTTCCTTTCCCTTACAAAGTCCTTGCATCCCAGGGAAGGTTATCCCTGTCTGATCTCCAAAAGGTCTTTCTAAGAGTGTATGCTGCAGTTCCACTTTCAATTAAATGCCCTTGTTCTGACAACAGTGTTACGTTCTCTAGGAAAAACACCTTTTTGGAAGAAGAGGTTCTCCCAATACTTAATACTCGCAGTATCTCTCTGAACCTTACTCCTTAGTTCATCGAGCAGCCAGAGGACAAGAACTGTACATGGCAGGTGAAGCTCTGCTCTTCCCATTTTCTGCTGTGATGCCTTTCCAGAGCCTGAACTTCCCAAACTGCAGCTGGGGGAATATTAGCACTGTGATGGGAAGCTGACATGCAAGGAGCTGCATGACTTCCCCTTCTCCGCTTGTGCAGCCAGCTCAGGACCGTGTTTCAGACTTCTCAAACTTGGCCGTATTGATCAGACTAGTTAAATGGCAGGCTTGGAATTAGATCGAGATTGCAAATAGGTTTCCCACTGTGCATCTCCCTCTGCCCTCGCCTTCCAGTCTCGCTGAGGTCCTTCTTGCTGTGGGAGATCCTGTCTTTCTAGCTGTTCTCCTGGTCTCTTGGGGAGCAGCTGCAGTGCGCCACTGCTATTCTTAGCTGTGAAGACAGCGTGCAAGTACCTGGCCCAGCAGAGCTGGAGCGCTGCTATCTGCCCAGCAGATCTCAGATAAATTATCCAGAAGATCTTGGTAGTGTGTAATTGAGTAGCTCTGCCACAGGCTGTGCTTCCAGCTATGTACACTCTGCTGTGCAGCGGGGCACAGTAATTGCTTGCTCCCCAGAAGCCAAGAGCTCTGGGTTCGTCTCAAGTGATTGTGCCCTCTTCTCTGAGATTTTAGAGGGACTCCTCAGATTCACTTCTCAGATTTCATGCTTCCTCCTTTCCTGGTGGGAGGTTGCATACATCAAACAATTATCCTCCCTTGGCTATTTTTCCTATGCTAAAGATGTTTTGCCACCTGGTTTCTGGCACAGTCCATTCTTCTAACACAGGAATGAAAAAAGGTCTTCAGATGCTGGGAGGGGTGGGTGCCCTAGGGACGTCTTCAGCAGTGACTGGCTCTGTTCAGATCTGGTGTTAATGCCTCAGGAGAGATCTGCTTTCTAATGGCTGCCAGACCAAGGATCTCTAAGTCTTCCTCAGCACTAACAAAGTCACAACCTTGATTCTCCGTCAGGCCTTGCCACTGCCCTGGGATGTGCTAACCGCTACAAGCAACAGGGGGATGCCCCCTGTACAGCATGGTGTCCACATCTGTGAGGGATTCAGGGCAGGACATGCTGTTGCATCTCGCTAACGGGTTTCACAGTTCTGCATGGCCATCTGCTGCTTGCTGGCTCTGTCCTGTCCGGCTCCCGGTGCGCTCCTGCTGCTTTGTCGGCCCCAGCCGGCTTGGCTCTCCCCTTGCTTTCAAAGGAAAGGCTTGGCCTGGGGCCCAGCCAGAGCTGCATGTTGCACCCTGGTCCCCGAGTGTCAAAGCTGCTGGCACAGGCGCTGCTGGCGGTCAGCCCAGCAGGTCCCTGGCACCAGCGTTAGTGAAAGGCATGTGGCTGAATGACCTGACTGATCGCACCGTCTCCCTCTCTCTCTGCCCCAGATCGGCGGACCATTCTCTGCCCGGATCTTCCGTTTCCACAGACTTTGGCAGCTGGCAGATGGTGACAGGGTGTGGCAGTATTCGGGAGCAGGCAATCCTGAGCGCAGACGCCTCTCTCCCTTGCAGCTTCCAGGATGAGTTCCCTAGCACTTGCCTGTAAGTGTCTCAAATGCAGGATCTCTCCTTGGCTGGCTGCAAGCACTGGAACTTTATCATCCTGGCACTTTCAAAGAAGCCTGGGAGCCCATAACTGTCCCATATTCCCTTCTTTGATGCTTTCCATCCACAAATTCAGTCACTGAGCGCTCTTTGCTTATGCTGAACTCGGAAAGAAACCGGCATCTTCTCTGCCTAATGACGGGGGGGCACTTTGCTTTCTGTAGGAAGAAGAGGCTTTTCTCTCTTCCCTGAAGACGCTGAATTTGGGCATAATTGAGTGCATTTGAGGATGCATGCTTGTCAGGACAGGACTGGTAACCCAGATTTTCTTGCTTTTGGATCTTGCTTGTCTCCCTGCTGGGGTCAGATCCTTGCTGCAGTAAGAAAGGGGCTTTCCTTCTGTCACCCTGATTTTTGTCTGACCACACGCAGCATCATTTGCAGGTGCTGCGGTCTGGCCAGTGCAGAGCAGCAGACACCCTGTATCCTGCTGCATCCTGCCATGTAAAATGGCTGGGAGGCAAATGTTCCTCCCCAAATAGAAAGCCACCTCTGTGGGAGCTTGAAAGACACGAGATGTGCTTTAATTGCTGTTAGAAGAGAACCTTGGCTTGTGCCTTCAGGCTGCAAACTCTCAATCAAGAAACTGAAATGGCAGATCAGGGGCTGCCATTAGCTAGCTGTGCTGCCAAACACTGGCGGTCCCTTACCGAGGTCTGAGTACGTGCTTTGGAGGCAGAGGGCATGCGACATGAAAACCAACATCTCCTGTGAGACAGGCTAGCTGCCCTGGCTCGCCTTCTCATATGGCTGTGTGGTGTGCTGCTGAGCAGAGCAGCCGATCCCAAATTATGATTAAGCTACAAGACCCATGAATTGGCAGATCGAAGAATTGCGAGGGATGTCAGACGTGGCCTGGCTGGAATTTGCTCTCCTCCTTTCATGAGGACATGCTGTGCTGCTTCTGTAGTTGTTTGGAGATCGTTGAAGGAGTAGAAGGGACTGAAGGACGGGTGGCTGAAGTAGGGACTTTTCACTGTGCCCTGAACCTGGCTGTGCTTGGTTGGCTGCTGATCACCAGCAGGTTGTTGCTGCCCTTCTTGGAGTTGGATCTAACGTCAGAATAGGGAATTCAGTAGAGGGAAATGTGATTTCAAGTTGAGCTCTGGATCTGTCTGCGCTGAGACTGTAGGCTCATGCAGTTTGGAGTCCGGCTGCTTGGGACAGCCGGGTTCAAAGGGAGGGGAACAGCGGTGGTGCTTCTCCCTTGGGTGTGCAGCAGTTGCTGCAAGTGCTTAGCCCTGTTCAGCTCTTCCCTGGAGCTGTGGGGTGCTCAGGGGCTGGGGACCGCTTGGCTGCGGGTGCTGGGACCAGGCGCTGTTTGGAAGAGATGAAGAGTTCCCAAGGATGTTGTGTTGAGCTTAACCCAGAGCCTCTGCTCTCTCTCTATTCTGCATCAGCTCGGTTTTGCTCAGGAGCCCATTGTGGTTTTATCCCAGTTTTTCGCAGCCCAGCACAGTATGAGTTTTTGGAAAATTAAATTCCATTTAAGTTCCCACTTTACATCTCAGCTGGCAGCAGCTCGATGAAGGTATGCTTTTCACAGCCTACTTCCTTGTGCTTGTGTGGGGCTTGTCAGGGCTTACTTAGAGCTGGGGCTTTGACAGCCTCCTCTCATCCTGCACCCCAAGCTGCAGGCAAGCAGGCAGGCCGTAGGAAGTATAGCAGGGCAGAGCACCGTGGATTTGGCAAGGAAGCGTGACCTGCCTCCCTGGTTGAACTGCTTAGAGTGAAACGGTGCAGCTGGTCTGCAGGGCTTGGTGTCGGGCAGTGGCCAGCTGCTTGACCCTGCGCCTTAGAGTGTCTCACTCCATAAAAAGAAACCTAAAAATCTAAATACAAAATCTGCCCTGTAAAGAGATGCGAGAGCCAGAAGACGCGGGAGCTAACTGCTGCACGCCCTCGCTTACCTCTGCGTGTGATATTTAAGATCACTGTACTCGGGTGCAAGTAAGTCCTGCTTTCACGTAGCTTATTTTTAATGCTAGCAGGTTTGCGAGTTCCACGTCCTAACTAGGTTGCCAAAAAGCATCTTTTTAATGTGTTTAGATATGTTGCCTTTTTCCTTTGCCCTCTGGCTTCTCTTTATTATCAGACACTAAACAGCGGCCCGGTTGGCTGCCTCAGCATCGGTTGCTGTTTATAGGCCTCCCACCATATCCTCTTGCTGCTGTTTCCGGACCGAAGCTGTTGGCTGTGGGTGGTTAACACTTCCATTCAAATGAGCTGTGCCAATTTATAGCCAGCCCAGGCACTGGAGAGATTAAAGAGAATTTTTTATGGGGAAGGTTCGCGCTGTGCCCTTGGAGTGACCTTTGAGGAATGTCTTATTCTCTCTGGGAACCACTGGCACATGGCAGAGGGGCCGCAGCAAGGACCATTTCAGGCCGGAGCACTTGGAAAAGCTGCCTCTGAACCCTAGTCTTGCTTTCCCCTGCTCCTTTGGCTGAAATATTGCCTTCCCTCTGCTCTCTTCCCCCCGCCCCTAACCAGGTGCGTGGATCAGCCTGAGAGGAGAGCAGGTCCCGGGGGAAGCCATGCCCTACTCTGCACGCAGTCCTCCTGCTTGCAGCGCACAGCCATGCTGGGGAGCAGAAGTAAAACGCCGCTCAGCTCTCCTCTTTCCATGGCTGGAGCGCTCCTTGGGGCTGTTTTCACCTTGTCTGCCCTCTTTCATCCCCCCATCCCCAAAGCTGTCTGTGCTGGCGCAAGCACAAGAGGCCAGGGCTGCTGGAAGCGAGGGACCGATGCAAATAGGTTGGAAGCGACTGTCCCGCCACGGCACATGTGGACAGGCTCCATCTGGGAACGCTGTGCAAGGAGGGGAGGGAGCTAGCGCAGGGGCTGACGTCAGCCAGCACCTGCTTGGCGAAAGCAGCATTTTCTATATGAACTGTGGCCTCGTAAGCACCATGGTGGTGGGAGAAACTGGGGGGGTGGTGAAGGAGGAGACCTAGGAGAAAGCAGGAGCCTGGGGCTGCGAGAGGCTCCATGGGAGAGCGTTGGGTTGGGTTGGGTTGGGCAAGGAGGCAGTGGCACCAGGTGTGACGTCAGCCAGCACCTGCTTGGCGAAAGCAGCATTTTCTATATGAACTGTGGCCTCGTAAGCACCATGGTGGTGGGAGAAACTGGGGGGGTGGTGAAGGAGGAGACCTAGGAGAAAGCAGGAGCCTGGGGCTGCGAGAGGCTCCATGGGAGAGCGTTGGGTTGGGTTGGGTTGGGCAAGGAGGCAGTGGCACCAGGTGCCGGAGCCTTTTGGGGCTGGCGCTGCCTCGGCCACCGGAGCCAGCTGAGCATCATGGCCCCACTGATGCTGT